GCGCTGGAGCGCCAAAACCAGGGTGATAACATGGCCGCTGGCATGATCTAAAGCGCGCGCGGTCATGGAATGGATCGACGCGTTCGGCGCGCTACCGACCCAAATCTAAAAAAGGGCGGACGCCGGACGGGCGGCCGACCCAAACGGACAAACGCGTCGTCCGTTTGGGTCGGCCCATTGGAGTTGCTCATTCTCATTTACTGTTTGTTTTCTGTCCGCACGGACTCATTTTTGGTGTAAATTTGGGTCACATTCTTGTTGAAGCCGAAAACAAAGCAGATATTTTTTGTGTCCTCTTTGTCTGTCTCTATCTGCCACATGCGAGGCATGATCTACCTGCCGTAGACCCACTTCTCTCTCTTGCTTTTCTCTCTCCGTTGGCCCACCCATCCACGCACCACATCCCGCCTTCGGTTCTCTCTGCCGCTCCTCCCTGCCGGCGCATTGGCTAACCAGACGAAATGTTGCCGACGCCCAGCCGCTGCTAGCTCCACTGGCTACTACGTGTTTAACGATATGTCGAGACGGGCATGTCAAAAATGGTCGGCTACCATTGGGCGCACTGAGTAACCCGAACGAAAAAGTGGCCAATTCATCCGCTATACTGACCCAAACAGACGAAACGTAGGCAAAATGACCGTCGGTTTGGATCGCTGCGTTGAAGTTGCTCTTAATCTCCCCGTCAAATCGCGCTCCGCACCAATCTCGAGTACACCATTTCTACTTTGGGCTGGCCGGCGGCATCAATCAACGTCGATCGCTGGAAGAGCTGGTGGATCGAGCTGCGATTACGGCCTTCTTCGATTACGACGGATTGCGGCGGCGAGCGAGGAGCCACCAATCAGGCGGGTGTTGACAACGGGAGGGAGGTAGGGTTTATAGTAGTAGTACAATTTTGCGATGTGTCTAGTAGCAAAAATACGAACTAACTACGTAAATTAGTTACGAAAAGGAAGTCTCCTTCCCTCATCCCACTAATCTCCCCCCTTATTTTCAGGGTGGGGCCTGGTGAATTCCAATCAAACCAGCCCACATCACTCTTTACGTAACTTCCGTACCAAAATTTTCGTAGGTCTAGCAAAGCCCGTCTTGTAGGCACTGTGCTTTACAAACGAAACTGTTGTGCAGCCGAAACTGCAGAGATGACATGCAGCCGACACTCGTATCCTACGGTGTATCAGTGCTGCTGATGTGCATTTGATGGTGTGATCTTCTACATCGTTCTCAAATCGTGTGGGTATCGTTTACCAATCGGCTTATCATCTCCTTTTCACGCACGCGTTGCTTTGTAGTAGCATTTGAACACCGAAACTGATTCATGCACGATCCTTGTGGCCGATGTATGCACGACATGGAAATCCAGCGGCAGATGTCTCGATGTATGCACGCATGTCCGGCTGGATTTACTTTATCGTGCATGGGTCGTCTAAATTTTATCGTGTGTATAGCACAGCTCAATGAGAATGGGTGGTTGGGCAGGACCGCAGGACACAGACCGGTCGACCGTCGACGAGTAACCATGAATCGTATGAGAGCGCTCATTCATTGCGATGGTCCTCCGTCCGTACGCACACGCGTCCGTGCAGCCCGGCGTACCTATTGTACGCATCGCGTCACATCACATCGCGGCCAAAAAAATCCCGCGTTCCCCGCAAAAAAAGAAGAAAAAAGTCCCGCGCGCCCGGCGCCACCACCTTTGCCGGTAGCTGGCTACCACGCGACGCGACGGGACACGACGGGGATGAGCACGACCGCCGCGCCGCCGCCGTGATCGACGCCCCCCTCCACTTGACCACGCTTTGCTTTACCCACCCCTCTTGCGCCAAAGCGATGGATCGACATGCATGCATCTTGGTGACGACGGACGATGATATTTTTCTAGCTAAAGAGTAGATGCTGTATGTGCGTTTTATACTGTATGTGCAACAACACAAACGTACCTTTAACCGGCATTTGTTAGACCGTAAAAAACCTCTAAATTAACTGAAGAAGGTGATGTACAAGTATTTACACATCCACGAAATGTTACAGCCAAGTGATGCATCCTCGCACGCTGTACAGTTTGCACTTTGTAGTACGTATGTACGTGAGCGACCATATATACATGCATATGTCGTATATTTACGTTGCGAGCTTACTGGAGTACTAGCAAACGTGAGAGGTGGGCTGGCTACTGTGCCGACGAACGACAGCGGCCGGCGACCGTGGCCTGCGCAGCCGCGACGGCGTCGGCGCGCTCACAGCACGTTTGAGGAGTGGGAGACTCGGTGGCTGCCGGCGATTGGGCGGCCGCGACGACGAGAGCGCGCCGGCAGGAGGGGCAGGTGGAGTTGGACAGTAGCCAGACGTCGACGCAGGCGGCGTGGAAGCCGTGGCCGCACGTCGGGAGCACGCGCACCTCGTCGCCGCGCGCGAACTCCGCCAGGCAGATGACGCACTCCGGCCGCTCCCCCTCCTCGTCGTCTACCTCCTTGCTCTGCTCTGGCCGCCAGGACACGGTTGGCAGCGCTTGTAGCGCCTTCTTCTTGATCCCCTTGCCCGGCGCCGCGACTGCCCCCGGCGCGTCAACCGAGAAAGCGGAGGGGTTGCACAGGCGGGAGCAGCGCGCGACCATGGCCAGCCCGACCACGCAGAGCAGGAAGCAGAGCACCGCCGCCAGGATGAGCAGCGTCTCCGTGTGCACGCTCGTCCCGCCGCGCGCCATGGCGGCCGCCGGAGGCGCGGCCAGCGCGGCGAGGTGGTCGACGGACTGCTGCAGCAGGTGGCGCGGCATTTTTCTCGTTCCTTCTCTTCTGTGTGAGACAGGATGAGATGAGAGCGGGGAGGTCTCTGTGTGGAGTGGGTACTAGGGAGGGAGGAGGACTGGACTGGAGGAGGGAAGTGTTGGGTACTGGGTGCTGAGTTTTTATAGGGTCTGGGATTGGCTCATGCTCCAAGTGGCTTAGGTGGAGGGATATGATTCATAATGAAGCTCATGCTTAGTGGGACTATCACTTTCTTGTGGCATGTTTTCATTGCAAGCCCCATTCTGTCTGCCTTTTTCATTCTCTGGCTCTTTTTTTGCTACAACTGGGCACATGTCACCTTCCAAATTAGGTGCGACCGGTCGGTCTGGACTAATAAACCTATGCCACTTCTAGTCTTTCTTTTCTTACAGTATTATTTGTATAATCAATAATGGTGCAACTTCAAGCGGAGATGCAGACATTACAATGTTACTATCACTTTGCTCCTAGTCAGTAGTCACAGTGCATGCGACAGCCATGCATCTTAAGTGTAGTGAACCGATCTATCGGATGTGGAAATGAGAATATGATGTCGTCTGAAAGAGGGGCAAAGGCCATATGTGAGAGAGATTCCACGGCCAAAGGCCGGAGCAGAAGACAAACGAAACGCCGATGATCGAAGGGACAATTGGAGTAAGAAGAAAAGTAGCATCACCCGTGGCGACCACGTACCTTAGAGCAGGATCAATGTGAGACCGACCAGAGTCAGCAGACCCATGTGTAGGGTGGTCCGCCACGTCAGGTACGTGTGTAAGCCAAACCAAATCAAAAGTGGATCCGGATAACATAGGCGCCGTACGCATGCACATGCCCGCCTGCCAGGAGTAGCCTGTGATCGATCCCAAGGACCAACATACACTTGGTCACCTGATCTAACGCGTCCTATAGTCCACGGTGTTCACATAGAGAAATCGTCTTGGTTCAATGCATGCATGCTTGTGCTTCTTTGCGACTTGGTTGGTGAATACAGGCCATGCCATGTCCACCGGAAACCAAATCAAAGAGCCCACTGTTGACGGGGAGGATTGGCCGGCGTGCGTGCGTGCGTAGCACACGGCACGGCGCAAATTGCCCGGCAACACGTGCTCCGCTCCTCTCCGGCCCTGGCATAAGGCCAACTCTACCGCACGACTCTATCCTATCCGGACCCGTCCGTTTGAGGTAAAACGGACAAACCGGGCGGCCCAGCGCGCGGGAGCAAACAGACTTTTGTCCGTTTTGTGTCCGCTTTCGACCCATTCGCGGCCCAATTTTGCGCCGTTTTTGGGTTGAAACGGACACCACGTGGACACGCCGGCCGTTTGCGCGTGTCCTTTCCTGGCCCTCCCCTGGCCCGCCCGTCGGTGGCATAGGGCGGGCCTTTTTCTATCCGCCACCCTCCCTCCCTCCGGCCGCATCCACTCCACTCTTCTCCACTCGCCGCCCGCTGCCGCCGCCGCTGCCATTGCGGCCATGCAACACGGACGCGCGCTCACCCAGCCCCTTCCCCTCGTCGCCGCCGAGCTACCCAACCACGGCCACCTGGTTTGCGCATCCGCCGGCCGGATTCGGGGCGGATCCGGTCGGTCTTGAGCTCGCCCGGCTGTGGGAGGCCGGGTCGCGCCATGGACTGGCCGGGCACCTCGCCGGAAGGCCCTGGCACGCAATGCCACATGCAGGCAGTGGCTCGTCCTTTAGCCACTCAGATCTGCACCGACGATGGCCCGCCGGCAGATACACGAATGACGGCCGGCCGGGCTCGGTGCTTGCCCAAAAGCTCGTCGACGCACCGTTGCCCCTCATCAAGTGCGACCACTGTCCAAGGATGATCGTGTGTCGCGTGTCTACAACGCCGAAGCATCCCGGATGGGTGTTCATCAAATGCTTAAACGATGGGGTACGTGCTTTTTTTAGCTTCGGTTTGTGCTTTCGGATTAGATTAGTTGTGCTAACTTTAAATTTTATTGTGTAGAATGGATGCAAGTTTTGGTATTGGGAAGAAGAGTACATCGATATATTGATACAGCAAAATCTAGTATATGTTCGTGCACTTTTAGCTAGCCTAAAGGCTGTAGATGAAACAAGTGCACTTGTTTCTAGATTAGAGGCTAGGCACGATACAACGTGTGAGGAAGCAACGTCGACTTCTGGCTTGAAGAAGAAAGGAGGATGCAACGTCGAGCTTCCTCCACAAATCAACAATGAGTGCATCGAGAAGGCCCTAACCCAACTCAAGGGAGCAGTTATGGAAGTTGGGTATCTTCTCAAATGTATTCCTGTTATTCTTGTTTTCTTTGGCCTTGTATCACTAGTCAAAATGTGATGATGTGTTGTCATGTATCAAAAATGAATGATAAAAAAATATTTAAGGACTTGCAAAGAAAAGTGCATGCGGACAAGATACGGCCGGGATGCGTCCGCGCTGGGCACACGGTCACCGCATCCCAGAAACTATCCGGACACGACCCCATCCCCTACCCATACGGATAGAATCCGAACAAAACGGACATCCGTTTGAGATCGTGCGGTAGAGTTGGCCTAAAACCGCCACTCACGACCGAAACAAGTGGTCATGCCCTAGTTAGTGGCGGCCCCATCCCGACGCCATGCATGGACGGACGCCGACCGCTGGAGTTGGGGACGGCGGCCCTTACGGCCACTCCGCGCGAGTTGGGACACCTTCCCCCAGCTGCCACCTTTGCCCTTTAACTGGATCACCGATCACGTTTTCTGTGTTTAAACCCCTTTTCCCCACTTGTTATCTATAGATGTCAATCGGCAATCATGTGTGGTTAGAACTAACCAACGGGGTCGAAAGGATGGCAAATTAGCAAAGCAAAGCGTAAAAAGAGAATTGTCTACTCGATCGAGCACCACACCCCACCCACCCAGGGCGCAGGATAAGTTTGTATATCTATCCCTTCCATGGTCAAACGTCCACACGATTACCGTAATTTGGTCCTGCTGACAAGTTAGCGAGGAAAGATTTGCTCTCTAATTAACCCGCGGATCGACGTGGATTGATCGGGGCGCGTAATTTGGTCTCATATAATTTTTTTCCATACCTCACCCAGGGCGCGCGCAGGATAAGATTTGTATATCTAACCCTTCCATGGTCAAACACCCACATGATTAGCGTAATTTGTTCCTGCTGAATGGTTAGCAGGAAAGATTTGCTCTTTAATTTACCCACGGATCGACGTGGATTGATCCCGCCGGCGGTGGCCGGAGCAGAAATATATAGTACTTGGGGGTACGGGGCGCGAGAGGCCAAGGAACACTCGAATCGATTCTGAGGGAAAGTTGGTGCCCCGTCCGGCGTTGCACTTGCATCGCTGGGTGGTCAAATGCTGCTACAAAGCAATGCGTACGTGAAAACGAGACGATAAGCCGATTTGTAAAACGCAGTGCCTACTAGACCCCTCACAAAATTATACCACTACTATAAACCCTACCCCCTGTTGGAGAACGTAGCAGAAATTTAAAATTTTCCTACGAGTCACCAAGATCTATCTATGGAGAGACTAGCAACGAGAGAGAGGAGTGCATCTACATACCCTTGTAGATCGCGAGCGAAAGCGTTCAAGAGAACGGGATTGAGGGAGTCGTACTCGTCGTGATCCAAATCACCGAAGATCATAGTGCCGAATGGACGGCACCTCCGCGTTCAACACACGTGCAGCCCGATGACGTCTCCCGTGCCTTGATCCAGCAAGGAGAGAGGGAGAGGTTGGGGAAGACTCCGTCCAGCAGTAGCACAACAGCGTGGTGGTGATGGAGGAGCGTGGCACTCCATCAGGGCTTCGCCAAGCACTACGAGAGACGAGGAGGGAGAGAGGTAGGGCTGCGCCTTGGGAGAGTTCATCTCATGTGTTTTGCAGCCCCCAATACCTCAAGTATATATAGTGGAAGGGGAGGGGCTGCGCCCCCATTTAGGGTTCCCTCCCTAGGGGTGGCGGCAGCCCCCAAAACCCATCTAGGGTGCGGCAAAGGGGGGGAAGAGAGGGGGGCGCCCTAGGGTGGGCCTTAAGGCCCATCTGGACCTAGGGTTTTGCCTCCTCCCACTCTCCCTGCGCCTTGGGCCTTGGTGGGGGGCGCACTAGCCCACCTGGGGCTGGTCCCCTCCCACACTTGGCCTACGCAGCCCTCTGGGGTCGGTGGCCCCATCTGGTGGACCCCCGGGACCCTCCCGGTGGTCCCGGTACGTTACCGATAGCACCCGAAACCTTTCCGGTGACCAAAACATGACTTCCCATATATAAATCTTTACCTCCGGACCATTCCGAAACTGCTCGTGACGTCCGGGATCTCATCCGGGCCTCCGAACAACATTCGGTAACCACGCATATCTATTTCCTATAACCCTAGCGTCATCTAACCTTAAGTGTGTAGACCCTACGGGTTCAGGAACCATGCAGACATGACCGAGACAACTCTTCGGCCAATAACCAACAGTGGGATTTGGATACCCATGTTGGCTCCCACATGTTCCACGATGATCTCATCGGATGAACCACGATGTCAAGGATTCAATCAATCCCATATACAATTCCCTTTGTCTACCAGTATAGTACTTGCCCGAGATTCGATCGTCGGTATCCCGATACCTTGTTCAATCTCGTTACCGGCAAGTCTCTTTACTCGTTCCGTAACACATCATCCCGTGATCAACTCCTTGATCACATTATGCACATTATGATGATGTCCTACCTAGTGGGCCCAGAGATACCTCTCCGTCACACGGAGTGACAAATCCCAGTCTCGATTCATGTGCCAACCCAACAGACACTTTCGGAGATACTCGTAGTGCACCTTTATAGCCACTCAGTTACGTTGTGACGTTTGGCACACCCAAAGCATTCCTACGGTATCCGGGAGTTGCACAATCTCATGGTCTAAGGAAAAAATACTTGACATTTAGAAAATCTTTAGCATACGAAGTACACGATCTTGTGCTAGGCTTAGGATTGGGTCTTGTCCATCACATCATTCTCCTAATGATATGATC